TTTCTGAGAAGTTTTCCTATATGGGTGGAGGCAGCTGCGGAGGTGGAGGAGGCGTGGTTGCGGCCAGCGCCCGCATCCCTCGCTGGCGTGGAGGCATGCCGTGGCGCGAGATATGCGGGGGCGGCGGCTATGGCGAGCGGGAGGTGCGGCGTCGCGAGACCGAGACCGAGAGGCATGCGGGATTGTAGAAACATTCTCTCGTGAAATCCTCACTCACTGGAAGTCCCTTCTAATTTTGAAATTGCAACCCCTAACTAACACTAGCTTCCATTCTGATTAGAGAGGTATAACTCTGTACATGTCATTACTGGTGTGCCTTGTGTTCGTGTTGTGCAGTTGAGGCAGTTGCATGATGTGATTACCACTCAACTACGCCAACTAGTTATCTGTCTTAGCCCAGAGCAACACAATTTCTGCTATGCTCTAGTATTGCCTGTCATGTATTCAGTTGTGCTCACAGTTAACTTATCTTGCAGCATAATATTTATCTCATTTGTTTCACTATCGAATTATGTGGATCTACCACCCATAGGCCATAGCACAAATTCTTGACATGTATAATTATTGTAGCTGAGAGAGCCTAACTGTGAACAATTTGCCCTTTTACTTGTGTTGGCATGGACTACTACTACTAGGCTTTTTTCTGTTAGGATGAAAAAAAATTAAACATCCAAAGTTAAATTCCTGGATCCGCCACTGGCTGAGGGCACAGCTCAACAAGCCCAAAAAAAGGAGCCGGAGAATTATGATCTTTAGGAGAATGGTTCTGTACATTCAGCTGGATATATATACCAGAGCAACCTCATCGTCGCTCAACCTCCTCATCAAATTTGAGACCATCAGCCTCCATCGGCCTCCATACCTGGATACGACATGTACGAGGAATATTTCACCCACTTCACCTTTGGGTGGTCACCACCAAACAGATTGTCCATAAGCTGCGCGTACTCTGCTTTAGCCTTTTCAAGGAGCTTGCCAAAGTCCTTCTCCTCCTCCTCCTGATGCTGATGCTGCTGCTGCTGCTGCTCTGCCGTCTCGTCGGCCGCCACCGGCATCGCCGCCTCTTCAGCCAGTGCTTTCTGATCCACATCCATCTTGGTCATCGCGGTCTGGTCAGCCGTCTCATCGCCCTTTGTTTTCATGGCAGACCCCTTGCGGCTGGCCCTCCGCCTCCGCGCCTTCCTCTTGGATCCAGTTTGCTCTTCAAGGAACGCCTCCGAGAAACCATCTGGGGCCATCGAAGCTCCTGATCCGCCCGCCTGGTGGTGCAGGGCTTCAGCGAAAACTCCTTGTCGGCCACTAGTAAATGTGCATGTGCAACACACGCATAATTATTGGTTGCATTTCAAGTAGATGCCAACATGTGGTAGATAAAAGGTTGCTTTGCGTCTCGTGGCGTATAGGAAAGCTTGACAACGCATGAAACGATGAATGTTCATATCTGGTACACACAAAGTCACAAACATACATAAAACTGGAGAATATAAATCAACCCATACAACTCGTAATTTCATGCCCCCGTTTACTCTTTATATGCATCAAGATGCTCTTGACATGTAAATGTTTAGTTCATTCTGCACGAAGTGTCAAAGCACTAAAAATCCAAAGCTAAACTTGGCAAGCAACATACACAATTCTACAATGTTTCCTCTCTTTCATATGTGTGCATCCTCCTCCAAACCAACAAGCTTTCATTCCAAAATGCGAAAAGAACAATGCGCTGAATAAATACAAGGGTAGGCACAGGAAAACAATAGTACAAAATAACATCCCGAAACACAATGGGGACATATGGAGAAGCACCAGTTGTAGAAAATAAGGAAAAAATGCAAGTCATGACCATTTTTGATAGTTTTTCCTTTACACCCACTTATGTGTAATACTATCAATCAATAAAAATAATTTGATGGTCATTAGTCCCTAACCATTAACCGAATGAACAACGAAAGGACCTTAAAGTATTTATACGTAGGAGAATAGTAAAAAATATATTTATTTATAGATGGTTCATGTGAGAAAAAAATCACATCTTGCAATTTAGAACATCCAGCGCCTTTATGAAGTGAAGTAGTTCCAAATGTAACAACTTAAAATAAACCAACTCCAGCATTACAAGTGTTACAAATTAAGAAAAAACAAATAATGTGTTGATGACACATGTAAACGACATCTGCTAAGAAACACCAAAGATATAAAAATAGCACACTCTAGTTAGTAATGCATAGAAACCTTATTTTGAACTATACAAGTCAGCACAGGCACGCCGTGTAAGTTCACAAGAAACCATAAATGCTGGCTGGGCAGTTGTCTTACAAGCAACATAAATTACCGGTACTCCGACAGCATCCCCTGAGAAGGAGCGATCGGTGCGGCACCCTCGGCGGTTCATGAATTACCGGCACTCCGGCAGAGTCCCCTGTCAATGTGTGCAAATACCCGATTAGTTTCCTAATATAACGCGCCCGTGATCAGTTTCCTAATAAAACGTGATCATGATAGTAAAAAATATATTTATTTATAGATGGTTCATGTGAGAAAAAAATCATATTTTGCATTTTAGAACATCCAACGCCTTTATAAAGTGAAGGAGTTCCAAATGTAACAACTTAAAATAAACCAACTCCAGCAGTACAAGTGTTACAAATTAAGAAAAAACAAATAATGTGTTGATGACACATGTAAACGACATCTGCTAAGAAACACCGAAGATATAAAAATAGCACACTCTGGTTAGTAATGCATAGAAACCTTATTTTGAACTATACAAGTCAGCACAGGCACACCGTGTAAGTTCACAAGAAACCATAAATGCTGGCTAGGCAGTTGTCTTACAAGCAACATAAATTACCGGTACTCCGGCAGCATCCCCTGAGAAGGAGCGATCGGTGCGGCACCCTCGGCGGTTCATGAATTACCAGCACTCCGGTAGAGTCCCCTGTCAATGTGTGCAAATACCCGATTAGTTTCCTAATAAAACGCGACCGTGATCAGTTTCCTAATAAAACGTGATCATGATAGTAAAAAATATATTTATTTATAGATGGTTCATGTGACAAAAAAATCACATCTTGCAATTTAGAACATCCAGCGCCTTTATGAAGTGAAGGAGTTCCAAATGTAACAACTTAAAATAAACCAACTCCAGCAGTACAAGTGTTACAAATTAAGAAAAAACAAATAGTGTGTTGATGACACATGTAAACGACATCTGCTAAGAAACACCGAAGATATAAAAATAGCACACTTTGGTTAGTAATGCATAGAAACCTTATTTTGAAATATACAAGTCAGCACAGGCACGCCGTGTAAGTTCACAAGAAACGATAAATGCTGGCTGGGCAGTTGTCTTACAAGCAACATAAATTACCGGTACTCCGGCAGCATCCCCAGAGAAGGAGCGATCGGTGCGGCACCCTCGGCGGTTCATGAATTACCGGCACTCCGGCAGAGTCCCCTGTCAATATGTGCAAATACCCAATTAGTTTCCTAATAAAACGCGACCGTGATCAGTTTCCTAATAAAACGTGATCATGATAGTAAAAAATATATTTATTTATAGATGATTGATGTGAGAAAAAAAATCACATCTTGCAATTTAGAACATCGAGCGCCTTTATGAAGTGAAGGAGTTCCAAATGTAACAACTTAAAATAAACCAACTCCAGCAGTACAAGTGTTACAAATTAAGAAAAAACAAATAATGTGTTGATGACACATGTAAACGACATCTGCTAAGAAACACCGAAGATATAAAAATAGCACACTCTGATTAGTAATGCATAGAAACCTTATTTTGAACTATACAAGTCAGCACAGGCACGCCGTGTAAGTTCACAAGAAACGATAAATGCTGGCTGGGCAGTTGTCTTACAAGCAACATAAATTACCGGTACTCCGGCAGCATCCCCTGAGAAGGAGCGATCGGTGCGGCACCCTCGGCGGTTCATGAATTACCGGCATTCCGGCAGAGTCCCCTGTCAATGTGTGCAAATACCCGATTAGTTTCCTAATAAAACGCGACCGTGTTCAGTTTCCTAATAAAACGTGATCATGATTAGTTTCCTAATAAAATATGATCGTGATTAGTTTCCTGAGAAGACGCGATCGTGATTAGTTTCCTAAGAAGACGCGATCATGATTATACTTTTCTAATTGATCGGACGTGGAGTTTCATATGGTGAAGCACAGTCAGTCGATGTAAATTATTAAGTGCACACAGAGAGCCATTAGATTAAGTTTAGTGGGTTTAATCATGCGGTCATAATAAATCCGTGTACGTTTCACGGGATGCATGTAAGAAAATTCTTGTTTGATTGTTTAATAGTAGTAGAGATGAGAAGACGCGATCGTGATTAGTTTCCTAAGAAGACACGATCATGATTATACTTTTCTAATTGATCGGACGTGGAGTTTCATATGGTGAAACACAGTCAGTCGATGTAAATTATTAAGTGCACACAGAGAGCCGTTAGATTAAGTTTAGTGGGTTTAATCATGCGGTCATAATAAATCCGTGTACGTTTCACGGGATGCATGTAAGAAAGTTTTTGTTAATTGTTTAATAGTAGTAGAGAAGAGAAGTAGAGAAGAGATGAGCGGATCCCTGATTTTCGACTCGCCTGACGTAGCTCAGCTTAAAAGGCGCAGGCTACCATAGCTCTGTTCGGAGTCGGTATGGAGCCCGTCTTCTCTTCGAACTCTCCTACCTGGCTGGACCGGATTCTTGTCGGGCTGGGCCACCTTCTAGTTTCTTGGGCCTAACTCCTACAAAGAAAGTAAAACTCAAGCCCATCACAATGGACGGGCCTCTGTGAGTCCACTCAAGGCCCGAACTCGAGCCCAGTTAAAGCCTTCCCCATCTTCGTCTTCATTCCCATTACCAAACCCAGAGACCGAACCCAAGCAATTCATTCTTCTTTCCCGAGATCTCCCACTCGCCTCCCCGCGTCGCCGTCGAACCCACTCCGCCGCCCCGTCGCCGGCAGCGCCCCCCTCCCGCGATGGCCACCCCCGACCTCCTCTTCAACCTGCGCAACCTCTTCTACCTCGGCGCCTACCAGTCCGCCATCAACAACAGCGACGTCCCGGGCCTCGACGCCGACGCCGCGGCCGAGCGCGACGTCATCGTCTTCCGCTCCTACATCGCCCTCGGATCCTACCAGGTTAGTAGAAATACCAATGGGGCTCGCCTCCCCTTGCGTCCCCGTGACTGGCTCTGATCGGCGGGTGGTTATGCTGTGCAGCTGGTGATCAGCGAGATCGACTCGTCGGCGGCGACGTCGCTGCAGGCCGTCAAGCTGCTCGCGCTCTACCTCACCGGAGACAAGGTTAGCGCGCTGGATCTGAGCTATCGCCTCTGATCTGTTCCTGATCCCGGTTTGGGGTTGGATCTGGGATGTTGGGGAGTGGCCAGATCTGTCGCGGTTATAGTTAGTGATCTGATCTGGGCATAGAGATCCGATGGCACCATTTTCACTGACATAGGCCGATGATTCGCGAGAATATAATTTATACATGCTGCCTCGTAGAATTGCTAGTGCAACATCAGTTCTCTATTAGCTCTGATGATATGTGTTGCAGAATTTGGTATAATACGAAGTGCAGCTAATCTGCACCACCTTTAATTAGAAAAAATACAAATGTTCTGTGTAAATGTTTGACCAGGAATGAACTTGTTAGATTCAGACCTGTCATTTTATAAGGGCAATTTAATTGTATAGGACAACCGTTTCCAGATACTTTTTCTTCGTAACAATGCCCAAATGACTGGTCTGATACTGAATGATGTCGTATTTTTGGCGTTAGGTCAGAAAATATTGCATGGGGTGGTTCTTATCATTGAATTCATGTTTTCCTCAAATCAGAAGCAAAAATAATCATCATTCCATGAAGGTGAAAGTTTCAATGCAGATATCAAGGTTCCAGTGAATAAAATGATAAAAAAAACTTTTAATGTATTTCACCATTTAAACGGTTTACTTATTTGTTGGATGCCATACTAAAATCTTATTGCTGTTGCTAAACATAAGAAGATGAGTGGTAATGTGTGTTACTCCAATCACTTTTTACCCTTCTCTAAGATTTCTTCGGATACACTAAAATGCTTATGCATTATTATTACTTTGTGCAACTTTGAAGGAAGGTGCGATCTCCAGCCTGAAGGAATGGTTGAGTGATTCAGCTATAGGAAGCAATCCTGTTCTGCGATTGATTGCTGGAATTATATTTATGCATGAGCAAGACTACAATGAGGCTCTCAAGCACACACACACTGGGGGGACTCTGGACCTGTTAGTTTCATTTTTCTCTATTTCTTTAGATTGTTCAGCCTTCCATTACTGAATTTATTGTTGCAAAACCGTACTCAAGGGTGAACGTCAGTATATGCTCTTTTTTTAAAATTTTGATCACCCGATGATAATGGCAAACTAATTTATATGGTGTCCAGTCTGAAAATTCATTTTTTTAAAAATAAGTACATATTCTGCAATTTTGTTTTACTAATTTCTTCAGTTATGTAGTTGAACACTATTTTCCATATTATGTTCCATCCTTCCATCATCAGCTGTAGCATATTTGTGTATCATGCTAAAATGTGACATTTTTAGAGCTTATTTCCTTGTGTCTTAAATTTGCTTACTTCTTCCAAGATCCACAGTTCATTATTTTTGTTATGTGTTGTGATTGTTAGACTGCTGCATTCTTGAAAGTAATATTGATTGTTGATGCTTCGTTGGTTTCAGGCATGCACTGAATGTCCAGATCTTCCTTAAGATGCACCGGTCAGATTATGCTGACAAGCAACTGAAGATCATGCAACAAACCGACGAGGACCATACACTGACACAACTAGCAAATGCTTGGCTCGATATTGCTGTTGTAAGTAATTTCATTATTTCACAATCTAATGCGGTGAAGTGTGGAAATTTTATTGGTCTATGGAAACAGGAGTATATCATCATTTTAATCTATGGTGCAGGGTGGCTCTAAGATCCGGGAAGCTTATCTCATATTCCAGGACTTCGCTGAAAAGTACCCTATGACTGGAATGGTTCTTAATGGCAAGGCAGTTTGCTGTATGCATATGGGGAGCTTTGAGGAGGCTGAAACTCTATTGCTTGAAGCCCTAAACAAGGTTAGTACTTATCCTCCTTCCAAGCAAGGAACAAGCAGCAAAACATATGAATTTCAAAAGGATGCAAGACAAATACTCAAACGACATCTCAAATTCTTGTAGGATGCAAAGGATCCTGAAACTCTTGCCAATCTTATTGTATGTAATCTCCACCTTGGCAAACCGTCGTCACGATACTTCAGGTAAGAATCTAACCAAATCCTCTGTACAGTTTGTACCCCCTTTCTGATGCACTTTAGGTGACAGGTGTTGGAAATTTGTATTTGGCCGATGCCATGTCAAGTGTTTTTTTGTGGATGCAAGTCGTAGTGGTTCTGGAAAATACTATTTGATGGATTCATGCAGATTACACATATTCGAATTTTTAAAATTTATCAAGCGGGACATTAATTAACAAACAGCATTAATTATCTAACAGTACATACTGCGACCCTTCAGAATTCATGCTTATTATAGCTTTCTACCAACTTGTGTTAAGGGTAGAGGTACATTGGTACTTCCTAGAAGTTCATGATTAGTACTTACAAAGAGTTCAATTGAGAATTGAAGTAAGCATCATAAAATACCATTCTGGGCATCTGATGCGAAATCTTGGGCAGTCTTTTCAACCTTGGATTGTGATCAGTATATTATTCACTTCTCATCTTTTGTAAACAGTAACAACTCAACCATATATTCAAGTGCTAGCAATTGTACGATTGGCTCCAGCTAGCCAAAGGACCATGAACTGTACTAGTTGCAAGACGCCTAAAGAGTAGGACCACAGAATGATTGTTATGAGATGCTTTTTTTGCATTTGATGAATTTGTCTGTCTAGTCTTTTGCAGCGCTGCTATATGTTTTGGCCTCTTATCCTGATTTTGCATATCTGGGGTTAGCATGTTGTGGCCACTTGTTCCTGATCGGACATATCCTGACTAGGTCTTCTCAGCAACATGAAAACAACTTAATTGGCTGTGTTCTGCAGCCCAGCTGTTCTTCTACCTGTATCCAGGAAGCCTCTCTACGTTTCTTAGATGCTACCAATTCTATTATGAATCTTGTGGTTGGGCATCACACTGAGGCTGTTAGGTTAACATTGTCCAGGGTTCAGGACGCTTACTGTGTATGAACTGAACCAAGTATATCTTGCTTCTAATTTCCATCTTTCTATGCTTCTTCAGCCAGCTGAAGCTGTCGCACCCTGATCACGTGCTAGTTAAGACCACCACGTCAGCGGAGGATAATTTCGAGAGGGCACTCCAAGCCGTCGCCTGAAACACCCCTGCCTCATTCCAGTTTGCGCATTGAGCATCCCCTGTTCCATTTTGAAGTGCTTTAACAGAGTGAATTGTATTGGTTTTGCTTTATATTGTTCTGTGGTAACACACCGCTCGGCCAACCCTGTACTCAAACACAAACACCTGCTGTATGAACGGATATATATGTAGAATCTCCAATCATGGCATTTGTTGTCAACATCGGTATCTTGTTATGTTGTGCTGGCTAATTCCTCCGCCAGCGACGTGTCTGGATCATGTAAAACATCGTGCTCTCTGTGATGCCTGTATCCATATGCGCACGTTATGTGATTTATGCGTGCATGCCTGTGTTGCATTCAGTTCATATGTGTGCATGGACGTTCAGGTCTGTCTCCTGTATGGCTGTATCTACATGCCCGGTCTCATTGAAAGGAAAAGTTTGATAAATCAATTCTCCATGCCCTTTAAACCTTTTCTTGGGGGAAACAGATGGTGATCCCTCCTAATTTAGCTGGCGGGTGTTCTTCAAAATATCGGGTTTCTTCCTTTAACCTCCCATAACAAGGTGTGAGCAAATCCCATGATAAGATTGATTTTTATTTTGTGGGTGAATAATGTATTACTCAACTCAAGAAGTTCATACAATCAATTGTAGCAAGCTCCATAGCAGCTGTAGGACCCGAACCGATCCAAGTCATAGTTCTACCTTCTAAACGAGCAAATCTAGCTATGTTATCACTGACTCTATTTTGGTTATGATTAACACGAGTAATACATGAATCGCGAATAGTCATGAGATATCTAATCTCCTTAATGAGCGATGAATAAACCGATCTATCCACCTCCTTTGCCTGGATCAAATTTACTGCAACAATAGAGTCCATCTTAATATCAATAGGAAGCTCACTTCTCTGGATCAAAAACAACAACCCCTTCATACATGCACATAATTCGGCTTCAAGAGCATCTCGACATGATAACCTGCTCCCTCCGGAAAATAGGACTGATAATCTGCACTTGAACTCTAGACCGTTCAGAAACAGGTGAAAACGCCCTCTTGTGATCCCACCCTAGATCAACGTCATGGCTTCATTCAGAAAAATGAAAAAAACCGACGAAAAAAAAACCCGTCATGGCTTGTGGTCGATGCGACATCTGTGTGTTCATGGATGTTTCACTGCAATGAGTCGTGACAGCTGCATATGAATCCATATTGTCTCCTGTCATCATTTTTCTTGTCTAGGGCCTCTTTGGGCCGTAAGATATTCACGAAAAGTTTTGAGGATTCCAATCTTTTTACCCGGTAGCAATCCATAGGATATGATATCTGAATCCTGCTTTTGTCATTATTCTGTTTTTAGTTTTTACTGCAAACTTGGTCATATTTTATGTTTTCTAGTTCTTTTCGTTCCAATCCAAAGAGGCCCCCGATGGCACGAACGCCAGAAATATTGATACCAGCGTCATTGACTCGGCCATGAGACCAGCCTATCAAGTGGTGAAAAGTATAAATATGATCATCTAGAGTCAGAGGATGACTTGTCATGCCGAGGAGGATTTGGAGTCAAAAATGCTAGACATACAAAGATTTATAAGCTTTTACAAGCTCTTTTCATCTAACAACCAATCACAAACCTCCCCCCCTCCCCTCCGATTTTCAAGGGGGTAGGCCGTCCCGCTCACTTGTTGACCAATAAAAACTAACCCATCTGTAAAAGCCTGTAAACTGTTTGTACGTGTAGCATTGCCGATTTGGAGTCGTAAAATTTTCCACAAAAAGGAAGACATGCATACATGCGAGAAGCTCCATACACATTACAATCACTTTATATATTATTCATAACTGTCAAAAAGAATGCTACACACCCAACATCACAACTCGCATGTATATTTGCACTTATGCACGATACAGTATATACTACTTGATACACATTTACACAACCGCATGTTCGCCGCTCCACACTGAAAGATAGTCAGAGCTAGCTGCCCATGCATGTATGTGTTATAGAGATTACACATGACATGTGTCATGCATGTATGTATGACCAAACATGCAGACACTCCGTATACGTACTTACCTTGAAAAGGCGCTAGCTCCATGCACGCGGGCATGCATGAGGATGCAGGTGGTGGTACAGTGGTATCTGGTATGTATGTAGGTGCTAATCGATGGAGGCCGGCGATCATGAAGGGCACTGGAACGAGGACGGCACGTGCTTGCCGCACTGGTTGACGAGCACCGAGATGGCGACGGGGAGCACGAGCTTGACGTTCAGCGCCTTGGCCTTGATGGTGGTGCAGAGGCAGAGCGCGGCGTCGAGGTCGGCCACGCCGGACAGCAGCGGGCAGCAGGTCTCGCTGGCGTTGGCGCCCACCACCGCGTGCACCAGCCCGTTGAGCGCGTCCACGCACGCCACCAGCTTCAGCACGTCCACGGGGCACTTGCCCGTCGGCGACGACGGCGCCGGAGGGCTAGGCGTCGCCGGCGTCGGGGGCGTCGGCGCGGGGGAGTACGGCGGCGGAGGGCACGGCACCGACGACGGCGGGGGCGGGGGCTTCACCTTCGGCGGCGGCGGCGGGGGAGGCGTCGTCGGGGTCGGGCAGCTGGGGCACGCCGACGAGGGCACGGACAGCACGGAGAGCAGCGCCACCAGCACGAGCGGCGCAATGCGGGCCATGGTGCCTGGCTAGCTAGCTTCGAGTTTGAAGTGCTCTAGCTTCTTGCTCTTGGCTAGCCTGCGCTGCGCTGGTCTGAGGGAAGAAGATGAAGCGGGGCGTGCTTATATAGGCGAGCGTGAGGTCGTGGTGCGACGGACGAACTGCTGGTGTGCGTCGGTCGCGGCTCGGTGGACACGGCGAAGTGTCGCGTACGCCTCAGTAGTCAGTACCCAGTCGTACACTGGCAGCGAGATTGTGGCTGGCGTGGACTCGGATGAATCCATCGACGGCCGCTTCTGACGACCAAGGTCTCCGTCGTTTTGTTCCTGGAATCATGCGTGTGTGGAAGATCGCCGATCGTGTGGTGCCTGCGTCTGCATGTCGCGGTTAAATCGGCAGACTCTGCCGAGCCAAGCCGTTTCAACCGTCGCACGCTAGTCGTTACATAGCCTCTGCTTTTTTTTTCTTAAAGGAGAGATGAAACCTTCCCATTTTTGGGTTGATTAAGGAGAAATTTGCCGTCCGTTTAATCTGAGAAAAACATGATGACAGTGGCACAAACTTGAAGGTCGCATCACCGAGAAGATCAATTTTTCACATATAAGTGGCTTTATCAGCACCCATGGCACCATGACTCAACGACTCCGACTTCACTGCGGACAAAGCGCCGTCATGCGGATCATCTCTAGGCATGCACCAAGTCCATGCATCCTGATACACTACGGACCACGGCATCCATCGATGAAGAGGCAACTCGGGTTTCGGTGGCTTGACTTGCAACTTGACATCGTTGCCGCACTTTAATTTGTTGCCCCTCGACACATCACCTCCGACTTCATCGCATCTTGGTGAATTGATGAGCCAAAACATTCAATCATAAGGGCGGAATACTAACATAAATATTGCGCAACATGATGCCCATCAATGTCCCTCATATGTAACTGTTGTCTCGGCACAACTTACACCACCCAAGCTCTGCTCTTGGGCATGACAAGGAAGAGTCATCGTCCAACCATATGCCGATCTCATTACCTTTCTTTTCTTCAAATGTAGTCATCCTCAATCTCAAGTGTCGGTAATGCCATAGGCTCGATGACACTGGAGACCAAAGAAGGAGACCTCACCAGAGTTAGGTGTTTGGGTTATGGGTGGTTAGTGTGATGCGTATCTGAATGGATTGAGTGTTTAGATGAAAGGCTTGATCCCGCCGCAAGTAACATAAATGACAAACTAGAGGCAAGATTATGCATAACATATGCGCCCATGTTGGCGGAAATGAGGCTATATTAAGGAGGTTGGAGGAAGATGAAGAAAATATTATTTGAGGAAAGAAATAATCTGAGCTGCCGGCAATCTCTTATCTTTAACGAAGCATGTTATGTTTCTCTTTGGATGAAATACATCCACAACCATCGAACTTGTGGAGTAGGTGCAATCTAGTCCTCAAACTCAGGAAATGCTCCACTTTGCTCCTCAAACATGCTAAAAATGGTCCCCGCAGGGTGATTTGTACATTTCTCATACTTGTGTAGTTGACCTGTGGCGTTTCTCTATTTTCTCTCACCGTCCGCGATAGAAAGCCAACACTCTCTTTTCCCTCACTATACATGTCAGAATGTATTGCTTTGTATTTATTTGGGAAAAGATTCCCAACCTTATACACAAAAAGGTTGCGCCAATATCCATCATCCAATCAATGGTGGATGTTTGACCGCTACATACTCGTGCAGCTAGAATCTCCACTACTGCTATTTATGATATCCCCAAACCCCTAAGTTTTTATCGATTTCTCCATATTCCTAATATGATAGCAGTATAACTTAGTCCTTTTTTGCGAATGAGTATAACTTAAAGTCTTGAATTGATGCAATTTTCTTATTAGTTTGTGGTATAGTGATACGAAACAAGAAGATGTTATTCATCACTAGGTCACTAACCAGTTGATAATCTCTGAAAAGAAAGGAAAACAACCGCAGTCTACAGAAAAGAGGACTAAGTTCTTGCCACGTTTTATCTAGTTTGTCAAGCATGAAGAACTAAATCTAGATCCTTACATATTGTGTAGTCTAGATATATTTTCTTTATGCTTTTGCATGTGGTATTCTTTTAACAGTTATAAGTTGTTTGTTTTTGGCCTGGGTCTTACTTTGATCATAGCTCCACCGCTGTTCATACATACGTTTGTACGTACTCTCTCTGTTTCAAAATAAGTCACTAGTAGAAAACAGGGCTTTGGTCCAGGCCGGGTCAGCCCATTAGTCCCGGTTCAGTCCAGAACCGGGACCAATGTGGGCATTGGTCCCGGTTCGTGAGCCCAGGGGGCCGGCCGGGCCACGTGGGCCATTGGTCCCGGTTCATCTGGACCTTTTGGTCCCGGTTGGTGGGATGAACCGGGACCAATGGGCCTCGCTCCTGGCCCATCATCATTGGTCCCGGTTGGTGGCTTGAACCGGGACCAAAGGCTCCCCTTTAGTCCCGGCTCATGTCACCAACCGGGACCAATGAGGTGCCTATATATACCCCTCGCTCGCGAGCAGAGCACTCCAGTGCTCTGTTTTTCTCTGGCCGAGGGGGAGAGGGCTTGGTGGTGCTCTAGCTCACCTCCTATGCACACAAGGTGTTCGATGGAATGCCCGAGCCACACTACTTAAGCTTTCTCCTCTCCAAGCTCGACCTCCAAGCTTCATTTTCCATAATATTTGTCTAGGTTTAGCGGTCCGTCACGCCCCGTCCCCGTCTTCACCGCCGTCGATCACCTGCGCCGAGCTCATCGCCGACACCACCGTGGTGAGCCTCTTGTTCTTATCTTCTTTCTGAAAGGAAAACTATTCTTACTTGTATGTTTACATAGATACTTGTATTATTTTCTTACTTTTATTATTGCATCTTATATAGTGCGATGGTTTTGGTATCCGCCCCCGTCGGCCCTCGTCCTGTCTATGATTCGGATGTGGTATATATATTATCTTTATAACTATTGGTTCATTTATTGTTTATGAAAATTATGCCGACCAACGTGACATAGATTTTATTTATGTAGGATGTATGTGAATCGGAAATGCCAACCGACCCTATTGTCGAGAGGTTAAATTTAGTTGAAGAAGAAAACAATTTGTTGAAGGAAAAAATAAAAAAAATTGAGGAGGAGAAGATGATATTGGAGTTGCATGTTGCGGATGTCGTCGATGATCACAAGATCAAGATGGATGCAATGCGCTTGAAGATTAGAAACATTAGAAAATATGCCATTCATACCGAGGCTTGGTATCATTATGCCGTTGGATCAATTGTTACCTTGGTTGCGATTATGATCGCATTTGTTTTCGCATTGAAATATTTTACATAGTTTCAATGTATGGTTTAATTAATTAGATGCTCTGGAGAGCTATATGCTGTTAGATGAGAACTATGTATGCACTTTGGTTTTAATGTGATGATGAACTTCTATTAATTTGGACACTTAATTATATATAATGCACGCAGATGAACCGACAATGGATGTACGGTGACAGACACACCCGCGAGTACATTAAGGGCGTGCATGAGTTTCTCGATGCGGCTGAGGCAAACAAGAAGAATGGTTTTATGTGTTGTCCATGCACTGAATGTGGGAATACGAGGTCTTACTCTAACCGGAAAATCCTTCACTCCCACCTGCTTTACAAGGGTTTCATGCCACACTATAATGTTTGGACGAGGCACGGAGAAATATGGGTTATGATGGAAGACGGCGAAGAAAAAGAGTACGATGACAACTATGTGCCCCCTGAATACGGTGATGCTGCAACGGGGGGAGCTGGTGAAGATCAAGAGGAACCAGACGATGTGCCCAATGATGCTGCAACGGGTGAAGCTGCTGAAGATCAAGAGGAACCAGACGATGTGCCCGATGATGATGATCTCCGCCGGGTCATTGTCGATGCAAGGACGCAATGTGAAAGTCAAAAGGAGAAGCTGAAGTTCGATCGCATGTTAGAGGATCACAAAAAAGGGTTATACCCCAATTGCGAAGATGGCAACACAAAGCTTGGTACCGTACTGGAATTGCTGCAGTGGAAGGCAGAGAATGCTGTGGCTGACAAAGGATTTGAGAAGCTACTGAAAATATTGAAGAAGAAGCTTCCAAAGGATAACGAATTGCCCGACAGTACATACGCAGCAAAGGAGGTCGTATGCCCTCTAGGATTGGAGGTGGAGAAGATACATGCATGCCCTAATGACTGCATCCTCTACCACGGTGCATACAAGGATCTGAACGCATGCCCGGTATGCGGTGCATTGCGGTATAAGACCAGACGAGATGACCCTGGTGATGTTGACGGCGAGCCCCCCAGGAAGAGGGTTCCTGCGAAGGTGATGTGGTATGCTCCTATAATACCACGGTTGAAATGTCTGTTCAGAAACGAAGAGCATGCCAAGTTGATGCGATGGCACAGTGAGAACCGAAAGAAAGATGGGAAGTTGAGAGCACCCGCTGACGGGTCGCAGTGGAGAAAAATCGAGAGAAAGTACTGGGATGAGTTTGCAAAGGACCCAAGGAATGTATGGTTTGCTTTAAGCGCGGATGGCATTAATCCTTTCGGGGAGCAGAGCAGCAATCACAGCACCTGGCCCGTGACTCTATGTATGTATAACCTTCCTCCTTGGATGTGCATGAAGCGGAAGTTCATTATGATGCCAGTTCTCATCCAAGGCCCTAAGCAACCCGGCAATGAAATTGATGTGTACCTAAGGCCATTAGTTGAAGAACTTTTACAACTATGGAATGGAAACGGTGTACGTACGTGGGATGAGCACAGACAGGAGGAATTTAACCTTAAGGCGTTGCTGTTCGTGACCATCAACGATTGGCCCGCTCTCAGTAACCTTTCAGGATAGACAAACAAAGGATACCACGCATGCACGCACTGTTTAGATGACACTGAAAGTATATACATGAACAAATGCAGGAAGAATGTGTACCTGGGCCATCGTCAATTTCTTCCGACCAACCATCAATGTCGAAAGAAAGGAAAGCATT